ACACACACACACACACACACACACACACACACACTGTATATGTACATATTGTCTGCTATCCACTGTTAATGTTTTGTTTGTTTATTAATAAATGTTTTTTACGTTGAGACCTGTGTAACATTTGTTATTGTTATCATTGTTAATGGAGGAAGAAAAGTTAGTATCGGCTTCAAGAATCGGCCCAAAAATATCGGCTGCTCGTATCGGCGTATCGGTTAGACTGATTTTTAAAAAATCGGTATCGGTATCGGCCTTCAAAAACCTGTATCGGTCGATCTCTAATAGATACACATAATTAATCCATAACACACACTGTGATCCGGAACATCACCAAAATTAAAAGGTGTGTTCCTTGGCCCAGTACCTACATGTGGTAAAAATGTTATGACAATCCGTCTACAAGTTTCTGAGTAATGTTGTCCACAGACAGAACGACAGAACAACAGACAGACATACGTGACCGAAAACATTACCTCTCCCTTGGCGGAGGCAATTACTAACAAAAAATGACTACAGATCATTTGTGACACATATCCAGTTGGGCTGTTGCCCTGTTTGGTCAGCATTTTTGCTCCTCCATGTTGTCACAGATGCTAATATAGGGGAGGGGATAGGTGGGGCTCAGTCTAGTGATTTAAACTCTATGTGTGTTTTATACTTCAGTCTTTGAACCAATGACTGGTGTTCTTATTGCAGCCAAGAAGAGGAATGGGTTTACACAAAACATTAGTTCATCTAAGCCTGTCCTGATTAACAGCTGCTTTCCTGCTGTATTACCTGTTGGTCCGGGTGTCGTTAAAGCCATCAGTTAGATACAGGAGCAGCCGCCTCTCCAGGTACGACTCAACGTCCTCCTCCTCACTGCAGCTGCCATCTCCGGTGAGCAGATCCAAGACCTGGGGGCTCAGCAAAACTGCTTCAAAGTCCCCCTCCACTAAGGACTGCAGCAGAGAGCCCGTCTCTGAAAGAAGAGAACTCGAAATGAGAAAAAGGCCTGTGGCATTTTTAGCAAAAGGATGACAATTCTTAAGCCSAGATATAAAACGACCCACACAGAGGCGTGACAGCATTCATCAGGGAGGAATCCAGAAAACCATGGGGASGTTTTAAACACCTGATGACTTCAAGTTTCTGTCTTCAGTAAAGATTCCACTCAGTCATCTCTGTTGATTTTGTTGGTCTAAGCATCAGCAGTATGCATTGAGTTGACTGATGTGCATATCTGGACATTTTAGCCACAGGGGATGACTTTTAGATTTGACTATCACTTACTTATTTGCTGTTTCCAAAAGAAAAGCCACGACTGCACTGAAACTCTGGAACCGGCTATGGCCACTGAGGCCCCGCCCACACAACTCTGGTTAGTTTTTAAAAACTGATTTTTGGCAGCATTTTAACTTCTCGTCCACATGTAGACTGAATTTTTGGTGGGAAAAATAGAGAAAAATAAGCAAAAAATGTAGTTTACAGTCTCTCAGTACGCACTTCTGATAAATGATGATCAAAACAACTGATATATATAAATTTGACTTGGAATATTTTATTCCAAGTCTTATTTTATCKTAAACTTATCAAAATTAAAACTTTGTGTGCTCAAAAATGTTATACCTAAAAAAAAACCCTGTTAAATACAAAATAAAACAAAAGCATACAAATGTTTCAGGAAAATATTTATATTTTCTGTAAATTTTAATAATGAGGATGTTCTTGGCAACAACAAGCCTGATGAGTCATTTCAGCTTTTTTGTGAGCATAGTTTAGATGAAGATTTATTTTATAAACAAAAATGAAAAAAAAAATACATCTCTTAAAATGTTCTCCGAAGTATTGCTGCAAAATAACTCTGACCTTTCCTCAGAACTTTTATATTACACTCATTGGTGCAATCCAACCTCATACAAGGGACAAAAATCCCACACAGCATCTCTGTGTTACCGGAGTGAACTTCTCAAACATAAATGTAGACGAGAGCCGTGACTTCACTAATAAAACCATTGACGGTCATTTTTATTTGTTCRGAAAGACTAATAACAATAAACAATTTACATCACGACAATTATGTCTGCAAGACTGTCTGGAAAAAATTGCACAAACACAATTTAATGTTTTTATCCTGCAAGGCTTTAAAGCCACAAGTCAGATCGTTTTAAGTGGGGTTCYGTGGAAAGATTATAAACACTATCTTACCTGTTGTAGACAGTTCATAGAACAGCCAAGACCTAAGTGGACTGCTGCCACTTTATAACTACAATCTTAAATGTTTCATAGCGGGTCATGTGAACATGAATATGTTATGTACTGTCATCAACGCAACACGTAAGTACAGCAGCGGGCAGCTATGTAAACACCAGGTTAGCAGTTRGGAATTAGGTGTCTTGCTCAAGGACACAACCCACTCAGACTCAGAAATCAAGTTTGCATTACACGTTTATTTACCAAGAAATCTGTGAGTATTTTCAAGCAAAAATAGTGGCAGCAGCAGCCAGCTGTAGCAAGAGTTGAAGAGGTGATGCCTCCGGACGTCTCCGGGCACCGTGCCAATCTTCGGGTTTGTTGAAAGTTTTGGTTTGTTTACTCTACATAAATTTCATAAGCTTCTATAAACTTTGTAAGCGGAGGGGGTGATCGCAATTATTTTTTGGAGCCAAAGGAACGCACTAATGCTGTGTTCACACCGAACGCGTTGTGAGCATCAAAAACACACTCAATACCTCAAGTTGGTCGATGGTGTTCTTCCAGGTCAGACGCTCGTCAAAACTGTTTGATGCATGTCGGGAAGAACCTCTTGTTGYTTTCCTCTGCCGCTCAACGAGCCAGTACCACAGATATGATATTATTCCACAGAACCACACTTTAAAWTTTAAAAACGTGCAAACTTTAATTTACATCCTTTTAAAACAGTTCAAGGCTTGGCATTAATTCCTAAAAACACCAGAAAGCAGTTGTATATTTGTTGGAGAGGTCCTTACAAACACCAGCAGAAAGTCGCTCAAAAATCACAGAAACACAGCAATCCACCCACTCTCATTTGTTTGATGTTTTGAACCAATTTTTTTTATCCAATTCCAGATTCTCATTAAGTCCACAGGCTGACTGAACCATCACTACTCTCCATTATACAACAGAGCGAGCTTTCAGTCTGTGATTGTGTACTCTGTGTGACGWCGAGGGCCAGCTGAAGAGGAAGACGTTTGGAATGATGAAAGAAAATGTTGCTATTAGAAAAGAACAGAGGGCAGCTACAAGGCCACCTCTTGCTGATCAGAAATAATGGTGTTGCCCGAGCTCTTGGTTTAAAATCTACCCYGTCTTTCATTAGCTTTTTATTAGAGGAGGGAGCTGGCTTGGCTCATTAGTGTWGATTGCTTTGTATTCCCAGGTGGAGAGGAACAGAGAGCGAAGAGAGAAAAGAGGCTGTGTTCGGATCTGGACAACAAAGCCCGGCAGAAGCTGAGAAACACTGTGTGTCCCCTACAAACAAACATCTCTTAAATCCAAGGGAAGAGCATCCAGCCACATCCCCAGACAGCACAGCATGTGCAGAATACTAAAACTAATATTCAATCTCATTTTCTGTTTCACAAACTTCAGCTGGCTGGTGCAGCTTCCAGAGTAGTACTTACTAGGGCTGCACCGATTAGTTGAAATAATCGATCACGTCGATTATGTAAATTTGTCGACGCAGATTTTTTATTATCGATTCGCTGTATTACATAACCACTACGTGAATGTTCATG